GGTTTAAGGTCCATCAGGAATTCCACACGTATCCACCCATCTCTCAAACATTTGTCTACATATTGATGGGTCCCTGAGATCTTTATTTGTAAATGGTATTCCTTCTAACTACTTAGTAGAACTTGATCTTTCAGCTACGGACTCTCACAAATGGACAGTTCTCCAAAAGGCACATGGGAAATACGTTTGCTAACCTAAAGCAATCCAGGGGGATTTTCAGAGACAGAACTAGCGCTATGCAAAAAAAAAAAAAAAAAAAAAAAAAAAAAAAAAAAAAAAACTTTCTAGCCTTCCCTCCTCTAAGTCCTTGAACCACCCAGTCTGCTGCTTCCTGTCCACCAATGTTCCTTCTTTCCTTGAGAGGCTCGATTCTTGTCACGTAGTCCAAGATATGGGCCCAGACATGTTATCATTGCTGTTGGACTCTGGGTTGGGGTAGGACAGTGGAGGTCGCTCTTTTTTAAGAGTGCGGTGAGGGATGCCCTCTGGGCTAGACTTCTTTGCAAGATGTCATAAGATGAACGCGCCGCGAATAGGAGAACAGGAAACCGAACCAACTGCCCTTGGCAGGGCCCCTGGGGCCGAAGTGAAGTGGCTCCATCAGGTGGAAACCGCGCAGTTCCGTTTTACCCAACTTAGGAGAGATCAAGATATCTAAATAAGCACGGCCGCTGCCGCCACAACCCTGTCCAAGACCCGGGAAGGGGGAGGAGAAGCGCCGATCTCGGCTGAAGCCGCGGCTGGGGTTTGTTTGTAGGTTCGCAATTCACCATGATAAATGTAAAGACCAATTAAGGTTTGATCCGTGCACACGGGAGGCAGACGGCGGCTGATAGTGGAACCAATTAACGAGCATGTCCCCTAATTTCTGCCGCGGCCGCCGGGCGCACCGCGGATCCCCAGGCGCCCGTGACGGCCACCCCCGAACCCCGAGAGGCTCCCCTGCCAGGCCCTGGAGGGGTGCGTCCTCCTCCAGCAAGAAGGTGCGAGGAGTGGGGCCCCGGGTGGCTGGGGAGGGGGCGCACCGGGCAGGGAGGCGCAGAGCCAGCCGCCTACGGAGCCCAACTGTTTGTAGCCGGGGACTGGCGGGTGGGGCACGCCGGAGTGGTCGCGCTGGGCGGGGGCGGCGGGGGCTGCAGAAGGCGCCCAGCGCGAAGCCAGGCGGTGTTCCGGGGGTGGAGGACAGGTGACCCCGCAGCCGCAGCCAGGTAGCAAACGGCTCGGGGGCTGTGCGGCGCGGTCCCAAGGCTTGGCTTATCCCCGGGCCCGGCTGGCTGCGGCCCGCCGCGGGGGCGGCCTAAGGTAGAGGGAGAGGGGCCCGAGGCCGCACCCCCGGGTTCGGCGTGCCTCGGCTTCTCCCCTCCTGCTCCTTTTCCCCTTGTGGCTAAACCCGCTGCCCCAGACGTGACCTCGGCGCAAGGTGTTGGTGCTGCGCGCAGCCCGGGCGTGCGTGATTAATGGCCCAGAGGTCGGGTCGGCTCAGGCACGACCCCCTTTTTGGCTCGGCCAGGGTGTAAGGGTATCCGGGAGGAGAGAGGGGTCATGGCCGCGGGGTCCCCCGGGAGCGCTGTGGCAACGAAGGAGCGACGAGGAGGGGGAGGAAGAGGAGAAGTAGGTGACGCCAGAGGGAAAGGCTAGTCCCTTTGGCCTCGAGGCCAGTGTCACGGCGGGTACCCCGCGCCAGCAAAGTTTGGAGCCGCGGGCGCCGCGCGCGGGTCCCTCCCCGCGCAGTTCCCTCGGCGGAGTCTGTGCCGCCGCCGCTGCCAGGGCAGGACAAAGGCTCATTAACACGTGATGGGACCGCGCTTCATAAATGGGACTGAGAGGGAGCCAGAGGCAGAGCGCGAGCGGAGGGAGAGGCAGGGACCACGCGAGCAGGGCGAGGCGACGGGCGCTCAGGCTGGCGGAGACGGGCGGCCCCACGCCGGGCCAGGCGGGGCCAGCGGGAGGACCCAGTGAAGAGCCCGAGAAAGGGGCGAGGCTCAGTGGCAGCCGGAGCGGAGGGGGCGCCAGTCCGCGTTGCTGTCGCGGGCGGGCGCTGGAGGCAGGGGACGCCGGCGCGCGGACCGACTGACTTACTGACCGACCGCTGGAGGCACACCCCGCTCCACCCCGCCGGCGCCACCTCCCCCACGCTACTCCCTCAGCCACCCCTTCCTTCTCTACTTCTTTTCCGCCTCCGCTTCTTCTAGGCTCCCGCGGCGCCTGTGCCTTCCCCTGGCTCAGGCGGGGCGCCTCGACTCCCTGCAGAGCTCTCCATAGAGTCAGGGGGGACGCTTCCTTCTAGCGGAGAACCTACCCCTGAGCTGGGCGAGAGGTGCTGAGGGAGCTTCTGCCCTGAGGATCAGGGGATGCGAAGGGTAAGACCTGGCAGAGTTGTGTTTGGAAATACTTTTTCCTCCTCCTGCCCCTTTGGGTACTGACCACTGTGTCCTGACCACTTGGGTACCAGCCCCCAAGTGTCCTTCGTGAAGTTCTTATTCTGGGAGAGGGAATCGTGTGTCGGTGTTTACTTAGGTGTATAGCCTCAGACTGCTAACTGTTGTCTGTGCTACTTCTGGAGGTTTCTACCATTTACTATTTATTGGATGTGTGTGCACCTGGCTCTCTGTATGCACTGATGTCTGTTTGTAGAAAATGTGTAATTGTGCATGTTTGAAAAACAGGCGCTTGAATTGATGCTTAATGTCTCTAAACCTTATCAGCAATGAAATATTCCCAGAGAAATAACATCAATCTATGCATCAAACGTAAAAACCGACTAAATAAAATATTAAATGTCATGTAAAGAAATGTATGTCAAATAATAAACTTTTGACATAGAAAAAATAGCTATAGAATCCACTTCTAGGAGAAAAAAAGAGCATAGTATTTAGTATTTAAATGTAGATAGAACCATTTAACTCAGAGCTAGCCATTAGATGAATAAAGTTGATGTTGCATTTTTGATAAGGTTCACAAATCACAAATGGATCACTCCGGAATGCAAATGTTTGCTGTGATAGACGTGAAAAGGTGTCGTTTGGTCATTTGAAAGTTTGAAAGCAATATGCATGATTCTAATTTTAATACATTATCTCTCAAAGGTTTTAAACTGAACAGGTGAGGAAAAAATAGTAACCTATTAAACATTCTGCCTTTGATTTTAAAAATTTTCTTCCAAATAAGAGCTAATCCTGCCTTTGTTTATCTCTTGGTCTATTAACCTTCCTTGAGCATTTACTCCAATAAGATTTTAGAGCAGGTTTAGTGGTTTTAAAAGTGTTGAAAGATATTTCTGTGGGTCCTCTAACTTCTCATTTTATTACCAAGTTAATATCTTTTGAACAATGGGGGAAATGCTATTTCTTAGAGGAAACTCAGTGGACATTGAGTATCAGAGGGGGTCACTACTGACATCAATCTATTTTGCAGAATATTGAGAAGCTCACAGCAACCAACCTTAAGGTTCCCATAGGACTTTATCTGATTTAAAGTGTTGCTTTTCTAATCCTACCCTTCTGACAGTTTGCAAGGGAAGATATACGGATTGATTTTTCTCTGTCCCTTTTCTTCCTGCTACTCTTTCCCCCTCCCCCACACTCTAACTCAGTTAAGAGCAATTTTATCAAAATAAAAGGCCAGGTATAGTTTCTTAAGAAAGCAAATAATTTTCTAATTATATTCATACATGAACAGAATGCATGCACCACCAAAATGTTTAAAACATTGCACACTGCAGGCAGTTATTTGCAGGTATAATAACAGTTACCTTAGTTGGGCAAGAGGCTTCATGTTGAGCATGTTTTAAAAAACTAATGTATATTAGATTATCAGGAGAACTTACTGTAAATGGACTCTTTTTGTTTCAAAGATGTCTCCCACACCAGGCGAGGAATACTCTTGGCTGAGGTATGTATCAAGTGTCTAATGGGGAGAGGTCTCATTGTGTTTCTATGCCTACAGGAGGGTAAAATAATGCCACAGGGTGGAAATGCTCAGTTATGACCCTTCAAAAATAAAATTACTATGCTTGCATACTCATTGTTAGGGAGGAAAATTAGATATTTATACCCTGAATTTTAATAGCATCAATATGTGTCTATAAATGTATATTGTGATTAGAGCTTTAATTAAGTCATAGGTGATATTTAATTTAGTGTGCAAAGTTTTCAATTCTGGTGAAAATCAGATCTCACATTGGAGTAGTGCTTGGCTTTGTTTGTTATCCACTGTTTTCTGTCTTTTTCTGTTACCCTGTTCCCAGTGGACTATGTTCCTCTCTGTCTTGCCTGTGAGATTGCTCTTCTCTAATAAGCCTAGCTGCAGGATCAGTGTGTTCTTTTTGGCATTTCAAAATGTTAAAATAGTGAAATTGTTAAATGTTACCAAGCTGAAACTGCTGGGAATGAAATTCTCCAAAAGAACCACTACATTTGTGACATATTACAGTCTATTTCTAAAGAAAACTCCTTGAATCGGTTTACCTATTTTCTCAAGAAGGAAGCAGCCCCATTGATTCTGTTGATAAGTATTTAGTATGCAGTGTCAGCTTATTAATTACTAAGGCAAAGCCTGAGAAACTCTTTCAAAACAATTGTGTGACACTCTGCTTTGCTTTGACTCAGAATTAACATTAACCACCAAGAAATTTAGACAGGCTCCTTAGTTGCCTTGCATATTAGTTTTTGGAATTAGAATTGGAATACTTTACTGGGTAAGAATAAACTGTTATGAAATGGAATTTCTAATAGCGGTTTAGAATTCACATGTTTACCAAATGTTTCCTCCGAGAAAGCAGTTGGCCTAATAATTTAAGGGATTATTTCCCCTAACTAGCTATCCAGGAATGCTGAAACAAACAAACAAACAAACAAAAGTAACAAATTGAATTTGGAAATACCTAACAACACATAATTAGTAAAATGAGATTTGGTTATAGCTTCTTGAATTTGGTTAGTACTATGGAGCCTGTCCTTCAAGTTGCTGTCTGTTATTCTTAGCGTAATTATGTTAGCTCTGTTGCATAAAGAACACAGATGAGAGCTTGCATTCCGTGCTTAAAAGGATGCCGTGTCTCCCCCAGTGTAAGTCTGTCTCTTCTATTTTTGTGTTCATCATTTTCTAATTGAACTGACAAATAGAATGAAACCAGCCTTTGGATATGAATTATTTATAATTCTGCTTTTGACTCTGAACTTGAACCCAACATTGTTTGAAAAACTGTACTAGGGTCAGGTTTACATATTTCATATCCATATTTCTAGAAATAGCCAGATCTGCTGGATTGTCTCTTATTGACTGAAGATTGGTAGAGAACTTAAAGAAGAAAAAATAAAAAACAATTTGTGTATTTTGTATTGGCAGAATTTTAACTTCGTATCTCCCTCACCCATATCTCCAATTTGTTCTTGTTCCTGTTCTCATATGAAATGCTGCTAACTTTGTGTATTAACTGCATGAGTGCTATTTGGGGAGGAGGGTTCTGGGGACTCAAAACTTTGCCACTGAATTGCTATTTAATGCTCTGACAATCACTTAATTCATTTATCATGAATAGTTGTATGTTAATTTGGCTTCATCTTACAGATCAACTCAGATTTCTCCAAAATATTTTCTGGACCAAAAGTAATGATAAACATCATCCAGAATATTTCTATTAATACTGCATTATTTTAGACAGCTGGATGTGTAAACACATTTATATACATACATAAATAAACTTCTTCATAGATGTTGCCTTTTAATATATTTGAACACATCTTTATGATTTTAAATGAATTCTACAAATTTGGAGAAATATTCAAGTTCAAAGCAACTGTGCAGATGGACACTGAAGACTCAAGGCAAAAAAGAAGTATTCACCTTGAATCAAAACACGGCTGTTCTTGTTTTCCAGGATAGGAGGAAATTGGTTCCAGGCCCATGTATTCTAAGAGTCTTGCAAATATGCCAGAATGAGTACCACATCATTGGATTATAATTTTTTTATAAAACTAATGAGTTTAAGACAGCTTTTACCAGTCATGCTAATTATTTATTAGTTTTAGAAGTTAGGTCTATACCAATTAGGAAAAAATATAGGTTATTACCATTTCACAAAATGCATAGTAAGATAGTTGTATTTGTTTTATATCTAAAGTGTTATAATGTTGTATCACAAGGAATTTAAAACTTGAGGAAATTTGTGAGGCGGGGGGAAGAGGGTTGTTTTAGTTGTCTTCATCACTTCTCTTGTTACTATTCAAATTGTGTGATGTTAGATGGACTTCTATCTCAAACTTGCCCCGTAGATAATAGAAATGTTTATGATGTAACAGTAATAATAGGTCAAAACTGTTATGTAAAGCAATCAGTGTGATTATTTCTAGTTCTTAAGGTAAAATATTTACTTCCTGAGTCTTATTTCTTTACTGAACATGATGTCTTATGGTGAAATAAAGTACATTCCATTGTAATAGTTATTATAGGACAGTTAGTTGCATAAACAAGTATAGTCTTAATCGAGTTTTCATTGATTTTTTTTCATGTATTTGAAGTGTTTTCCATATGGATTACTAAAGGATAAAGTTGAGATAGCCTGTAATCTGAAAGCTTCATATGGACAGGTTAATTTAAGAACTTAGCAACCATGGAATTTTGAAGTTCATAGTTGAGTTTTTATGGGTTTATGAGGAAAGAATTGTTTGCTACTTAAACCTGAGCCAGTGGGTCTGGCAGAGTCATTGCATTTGTTCTGGGAATGCTGTGGATTTTGTTTGGGTCTCAGCTGGAGAGATTGTCACACCTGCAAGTAAGGAAATCTTTCAAAGTTTTGTTTTCTTTTGTCTTGATTTGTTTTTGAATAAATGAGTTGAGACTGGTTAGATGGGAATCCTTGTTTTTCAGACAGCTCAGTTTTTAACCCATTGTGCTACTTCATTATATTCAGTAAATTTTAAATTAAGTTTCACAAAGTAGATTGTGCATTTTTTGAATGCAAGAAGTGATTTAAGTTCCCTTTTCTCTAACCCAAGTGGCAAATCTTTTTTTTCCTAAGAATACAATGTTCTTATTATATTTGAACACATCTTTATGATTTTAAATGACAATGTTTTAGTTTATCATTGAATGTTTTGTTTTTCCACTCTTAGTTAGATAGTTGGATTCTTTATTGTTTAAAATTTTAGTTGATTGAAGAGAGATTTGATATCTTTGGCTTTATTCCTCACTATCTTTTGTCAAGTCTGAATAACATTTTAAATTTTCTTTTAACTTCAGGAGATAAAGTGCAGTATAGTTCCCAAAATTTGATAATGTAATAATCTATTTTTTCCCTACGAGCAAATTCCATGCTATTGCTTTTTAAAGAAAAGCAGAGGCATTTTTCAAAGATGTGCCAGGCAATCTGTTGTGGTGGTTTAATATACCGGCAAATGCTTTCACAAACTGCATATGTCCATAGTATATTTAAATATAATTAAATATGATATAATTAGGAATTCAAGTTTTTCAAAATTTATGTTTAAATGGTAGGGTCCCCTGTTTTCTTCATCCATTCTTTTGGACCATGTCTTTAGAGAAGAAAATTGAAATCAATCTGAGTTCTGTAAATTGAATTAAGTTGTAAGGAGTGTTACGTTCAAACTGTTGATAATTCTAATGTGTTTTAAAAGAATAAAAACTTGCTTTAATTAATCTCTACTTCTATGGACATATGTACTAAGTATTTTCACAACACTGATTTGTATAACAAGTAAATCAATACCAGTGATCTCCAAAAAATTATTTAGGCAGTCATTCTTTGTCACCCATGTTTGCTTATTTTGCAGCTATATTTAAAAATCAAATGTATTTGTTCTTTATAAGAGCGGTTTATTTCTGCTATGACCCGAGTATTTTGGTTTATTCCATAGTGGCTGGTAAAATGGACCCACATTTTCAAATTATTTCAATGCGTTGCTGCCAGAATTTGTAAATGTTTTCTCTAGCTTTTGTACAACTGGTGAACAAGTATATATGGAGAGAGAAAAAGGAAAGCCAGACAGTTTAACACATATTAAGCAAAAGATTATCCAAGGAATTTTGTGTCTCTGCATGTGTGGATACTTGACTTTGAAGGATGCACAACTACTTTTGGAAATGGCATCTTACTTCTTATTTAAAAAGGCAGGGGGATATTTGAATGATTTTTAGCTATCAGTAAGGTAACTAACTATAAGTAATCTGTGGTCCATTTTTATTGATTAAATAATTAGAGAAGAAACAGCTTTCGCAGGGTCATACATTTGAAGTGCTTTGGGACACATTTCCATATACTTATAACTTGTAAGTATTTTAAATTTTTTTCGACCAACTAGAATCAGTGTAAATTGTATAATTACTAGAATAATTCTTTAAGAATTTGCAGTGCAACTATGTTACTTTAGATACTGCAAAATTGCCATTTTAGTTTGTCATTTTCTGGGCTCATCTCTTTTAATATAATATTTTATGGTTTGGGGGTAAAGATTAACTGAAGCAAATGTTTCTAGCTTTAAAAAAATAAGCTGAGATGTTAATTACTTTTACTTTTTCCCCATTCTGTTAAGTTCAGTACTCATGGATTCCTTCCCAGTGGTGTTAAGAGAAATAGCTTAGCACTCCAATAAAGCTTTGCATAGGCTTTGTAAATAGAATTAGGAGAAAATGGTGTAGAGTTTTTAAATTTATGTCTGTGTGCTGTGTTAGTACACATTACATCTTGAAGCCCCTTTGCTGGGTAAAATGTTTAACAGTAAGTGTCCTGAAAAAGTCTAGAGAAGCCCTGAATTGTACACTGAGAAACCTGGAGAAGTTTCCCTCCCCTTATACTTATTTTCAGGCCAGACTAACATTATTCTGGTCCATCAAATGGGAATACCCTGGTTTTAAAGATCTGTCAGAGTCTACTTTATTATGAGCAGGTTCTCTTAGCACTTCATTTCAATGATCTAAAAACCTATACTCAGAATATTCTTTCTTCCTATCTAACAATTCTTAAAATTTAATTCTATTTCCTCTCCTTATTTAGTTTTTTTTTTCCCTGAGTTTCTACAATCTTTAACAGTGGTTTTGAGACTTCAGAATGTGTCAGAATCTTCTGGCATCCTGTTAAAAACACAGATGTGCCTCAACTCTAGTGTTTCTAATTTCCCAGATCTGAGCTGGAGCCTGGTAATTCACATTTCTCAAAAGTTTTCAGATGATGCCTGGTACTACTGTTGGTTCAGAGACCACACTTTGAGAGCTGTTGACCTGTAGACTACCTTGTGTGCACTTACAGACAACTATGTGACTTCTCAGACTATTTTCTGAAATGCACACTAGAGTTTTCAGCTCATTTGCATCAGTCTTTATCTTCCTAGTTCTTTAGCTTCTTGTCACTCTTTCTGAACACTTTCAGTTTCAGCTCTGTTCAGAATCTCATAACTGAATCACAGAAACCCTAGAAAGAGTCTGACCTTGGATGCATACAATAAAACCACCTCATGGTTTCAGTGGCATAACGATTCCACACTTGAATCCAAATTGCATGCTTACTTCTAAGCCACAACTGCATTTCCAAATTATATTTTACATTCTTACTGAAACCGAGTACTTCTACTTCTGTGTGTATATAATTATTTGCATCTTGAAAGCACATTTTTCTGTTTATATCTTACATTGTTAGTACACACTGAGACTTTCCTAAATATTCCAACCAAAGTGGGTGAAACAGAAGTGCCTAGTTTCTAAAATATGTTTCCCTGGATTTAAGCAATAATAAAAACTTATTTTAAATTATTTCAGTGAGTGAAATAATAATTGGAAGGAAATTGAATTATTTAGGAAGTCACTGTGTCCTCAATTTGAGTATTTGAACTAATATTCACTTGTGAAATGTTCTACTTCACTCCCTATATAATAGAAAATTATTTTGCATTCTTTTTCATCATAGAATTATGACCTGTATTGGTAATTTAATATTTAGAAATGGGAAAGCCCAATATTTCATGTAATAGAAATGTGTTGAGTTTGTTATTAGAATTGATTTTGGGCTCCTGAGAACTCTCCTCTTACTTTTAGCATCTCTTGGCATAAACATTTA